GAAAGCGCCACACCACCTTCCACAATGGTTGCACCATTTTACATTCCCACCAACAGTGAATAAGAGTTCCAGTTTCTCCACATCCTCGCCAGCATTTGTTGCTTGCTGTTCTGTTATATTTTGCTATTCTTGCTGGGGTGAGATGATATAGTTGTTGAGAATCTTCTTAATGTTGAACTTCAGTGCATTTTGAAGACTACAGTTCTTGACCTTCTACAGCAAACACTTTAGGTCCTCCTCAGTTTTAGCAAGCAAGGTTGTGTTATCTGCATATCGCAGGCTGTTGATGAGTCTTCCACAAGTCCTGATGTCTCCATTCCTCCTCATAAAGCCAGCCTCCCGAATAATCAGTTCCGCATACAGATTGAAAGGGTATGGAGACAAGATGCATCCCTGAACACTTTTCCAATTTTGTACCACGCAGTATTTCCTTCCTCAGTTTTGAGGACTGCTTCCTGGTCCAAGTATAAGTTTTGCATGAGCCCAATCAGGTTTTCTGGAATTTCCATTCTCCTCAAGATTAGCCACAATTTGTTGTGATACACATAGTAAAATGCTTTTGCATAGTCAATGAAACACAGACTTTCTCTGGCACTCTTTGCTTTGGGCCAAGATTCATTTGACATTAGTGATAATGTCTCTAGTACCATGGCCTCTTCTACAACAGGCTTGCATTTCTGGTAGCTTTCTGTCAATGCACTTTTCCAGTCATTTTTGGATAATCTTCAGTGGATTTTCCTTACATGTGATATTAGTGATAGTGTTCGATAATTTCCACACTCTGTCAGGTCATCTTTTTTTGGAATGGGAATAAACATGTATCTCTTCCAGTCAGTTGGCCAGGTCGTTGTCCTCCAGATTTCTTGGCACAACTTAGTGAGCTCATCCAGGGCAGCATCTGTTTGCTGAAATATGTCAGTTGGTATTTCATCAATTCCTATGGCCTTGTTGTTTTGGTTTTTAAATTTTATATCAGTCTGCTTACAAAATTTGTTTCACACTATTCTTCATTCACATTGTATTTTATACAATCATTCCTATGCATTATGTTGTTGGTTGTTTTTTTTCAAGTCTGATGTAAAGGTTTATTGACTGGACACAATAGACAGATTGATGCTGTCTGGGAACCCATGCGTTATGTTTTATAAAATTAATCACAACTGAACCTTACCCATCATTTCACACAATTTGGTGGCTGGAGGGAGTAGCGTTGTTTTATGCCAGTTCTTGTAGAGAAGCTTGAACTTCCTCCTTTATCACTACTTGATTATGTGTTGTTTCTTGGGATTCTTCTGTGTCAGCCAATTCTTTTTGGCACAGTGACTATGTACTCCTTCTACTTTTAATGCTTCCTGGATCATTCATATTCTGCCAACAGTATCCTTCAGTATTGCAACTCACAGCTTGAATTTGTTCTTTAGTTCCTTCAGCTTAAGGAATGCGAAGTAAGTCATATCCTTTTGATTTTTCAACTCCAGCTCTTTGCTCATTATATGCTCACTATTTGTTGAGTGAATGATATTAAATGATCTAATCCAGGCAACTAGTTTTAGAATCTGGAGGCAGTGTTTTAGAAAGTCAGAACTAATTATAGAACACGCCACAGAGATCTGGATGTCTTTCATATGCTGCAGTATAGACCAAGAGGCATTTTTTTTCTTTATAGAACTTAGTCTTTTGCAAAAAAGTCAAGACCTCACCTCATTTTCTGTTTTGAGAAAGGTGGAGATGGGACAGTAGAAGCAACGTGTGGGCATCAAAAACTTTCTAACAGGATGAAAAGAAAACCTATGGACTGAAAAACATTTGGCAGTGACATCTCAGACAAAGGATTCAAAAGGAAAGTTTACAGAATACTACAGGACCACCTCAAGGAAAAGACTGAGAGCCCAATAATAACATATAAGCCTCTAGATTTGATGACCTGGGCACGCTGCTTTCTCAGTCTTAGCCTCTTCATTTGCTCAAAGAGGATGATAACATCTCCAGAGAGGGTGTCAGGAGACTAGACAATCCACGTGAGAGGGGTTATCCCTGAACTTGAAAAATGGCAAGCCTCTCTTATTTCCCTTTACATCCTCTCATCTAAGGTCTTAATGTAGGAAAAAGACTTGATCTGTGAAGATTCCTTTCTAACTTCAGAAGCCTGCCTAAAATGTATTTTTCATACCTTCCTTCCAAATGAAATGGATAAATGTGAAAATCTGAAGAGCCCTCATTTGCCCTCTTACACCTGCCATGAGGAAAGGACAGAATCTGATTAATATTATTTTTTATTAGCTCACTTACAAAGTTCATGTACATTGTGTTTTAGATTATTCTTCATTCAAATTTTGTTTGATACAGTCATTCTCATGCATTATGTTTTATAAAATTAATCACTATTGAACCTTGGTCATCATTACCCTGTCTTTTCGCCTGGATCCTTCCCCTTTCCCTGCCCCCTCCCTCCACCCACAAAGTTGTGTACTTTTTTATTATTATTATTGTTAATCAATCTACTAAACTTTGCCCAAGACATATATCTACACTTACATCTCAAGAAAGAACCAAAAACTGTAAAGAAATGTTACAGTACTCCTATATGTTCTTAAAAAGATCTGTCAGAGTTCTTGTTGAGTTTCACTGCCCAATTTGTGTGAGAGCTGCAAACTGATTGATTTAGCAAGAGCCTGACAGTTGAGCTCAGGTTACTGGGCAAGTGGCCCAATGGCTAGAGCCACCAATATATTGTCTTGTGCATATTGAGTACTTGAGTGGGCAGACTGGTGTTCCAAATGGCATGGCGTACTGCATTCTTTCAAACACTAGGCAAAAATGTGTGTGCTTTTATATTTATTATTGTTGCTACATGTTGTTGAATAAGACTCTACTCATAGCTGGCCTTCAAGCAGGTTTTCAGAGGCTGTAAATTGCATGGGAGGGAATTCACCACCTCTCTCTCATGGAGCAGCTGGTGGATTCAAATTGTATGCCTTTGAGTTGGCCCTGCAACTCTCTCCCACTTGGTTACAAGAGCTCCTAGTGGTAAAGAACTGTGCTGCCAACCTTAAGGCACGTGGTTCAAATCCACCAGCTGCTCTGCAGGAAGAAGATGGACAGGCTTCTCCAGTGTGATTTACTGCTGTTGAAAACCCACTGGAAGGTCAGCAATGAGTCAGTTTCAACTTGATGGAATATCACAACAAATATACAAAATAAGCTTTGATGAGGGCTTCTCACTATCTCAAGTTACCATTTAATTTATATAGATGCATAGAGTTGGTGATCACCAATTCCCACTCTTATTTACTTGATACCTAATCCGTCTCAGTGGCGTTAATAAATCCTTGATAGGAGCCAAATTTTAACATCTAATAAATTATGTATGCTATATATGTTGTAAAGAACTCAAAGCTGAATAAGATTCAGTTATATAACCAAAATATTTTTTCAAGTTATATTTACTTACATTAATCTAAATATGATTTTATACTTTAAAAAATCAAATGGAGGTGGCCCCCATGACACTTACTTTTCTTTATCTTTAATTTTCAGAAACAAACGGGAAGACAGGTGATCCAGAACCAAAAGAAAAAGGTGAGATTATCAAATAAACAGCTTTTAACATTGAGCATGTTGTTAGGAGAGGTTATTCCTTGGAGAGAGACAACATGCTTAGGAAGGTGGAGGGGCAGCGAAAGAGAGGAAGACCCTCCACCAGGTGGGTTGACACAGTGACTGTGGGAATGGGCTTGAGCATGTCAGTGATGGTGAGGATGGCACAAGATAGGACAGGGTTCAGGTTGATTGTTCATAGGGTCATTATGAGCCATACTTGAAAGCACCCAACAGCATAACAATAACAACATAAGTTGCCATACCATTCAAGATTAGCATGGTGATTTTATGTTACAGGTTAATTATCTGTGAGTAATTATTTCAGCAGTGTTATTAGGAAACATTTGTGAATAGTCTAGTAGATAATCTAGTAAACATAAAGCTAAGTATCTAGAGAAAAATAGTCTAATCCTCACCCTCGTTAAAGGTTCTGTAAAGACATTTTTCTCCTGTTTTCCTTATGACTGTGTCTTCCAGATGTTGAAGTGTGCCTGGCACACAATAAGCGCTCTGGAAAGGCTTGTTGAATGGAATCCTAGTCTCATTGTTTGAGTCTGTTAATGGGGATTAACAGAAATAGGCATCAAAGGCTCTGTAAATTTTAACTGTGAAGGTGTGTATTAAAGCTCAGATAGAAATCCTAGGATTGAATGCTGCAAGAAACCCAAGACTTGAGGGACTGACACTGAGGGGACTCTATTATCATCTGTAAAAAACCCTGAAAAATCACATGATTCCCAGTGTACACTGGACACATTGTCCCCAACTTGCTGGGAGAACAGAGTATCAAGGAAAAGAAAACCTATATTAAAAAACACTTCAAGGGGAGCTCTGGTGGCCTAGTGGCATGGAGCTGCAACTACAATCCCAGAGGCACACGGTTCGAATCCACTAGATGCTCTGCCGGGAAAAGGAGGGACAATCTCCTCCTGTACCAGTCAGATCTGATTTGACGGTACACACACACAAAAATAAAAATTTAAAAAAAAACACCAAAAAAAAAAAACAACAAAACACTTCAACCTGTAGTTTCTTTATCCAGAAATGAAGATAAGAATTCTTAATGCATCTTAGAGGGTGTCTTTTAGCATAAAGTGAAAATAATGTTGTAAAAACGTAATCTGCTACTCTTGTTGTTGATTGCCTTCTAGTGGAGCATGACTCATAGCGACCCTATGAACAAAAGGCCTGAAGCCTTTCTGTAACCATCAACATTTATCAAAGTTCATAGAGTTTCCGGAGTACATGTTGTTTAGAAAGTGGATGCCACTCCTGCTTATAATATTATTATCCAAATCTCTGAAATTCAGATTGCTTTTTTTAGGGAAAACAAAATAATTGGTTAAAAGAGCTGTAGACATTAAACTACATGTCTGTTTCTTTTGTTTGTGATGGGTTAACATAGGTATGGCAATTTTTATTTTGATAAAAGCAACACCTTTTAAAAACCTCACATTTACTATTATAATAAATTATAAAAGCCAAGCCATTTTTTAGTTCTTAAAAGAGGAAAGGCATAGTTGAAGAATACAAGACAATTTTATAAATGGAAAAATTTTACTTTATTGAAAATTCACTAAGATTATCCCTCTCATTCATTTACCCTCAGGTCAGTGAACATTTTGTTCTGAAGCAGCCACTCTTAGTGATTAAGATCAAGTTTACTCAAGTCCCACACTTAGCATCCTAGATCCTAGCATGTACCGGAAAAGGGAAGAAACAAAAAAAATCCTCTTTGTCTTTCATTCTTGTTGCCATGTCTTACATTACTTGGGTAGAGGAACTCTTAAGTAAAATCCTGTTTTTTCTCATAGCCTCTTATCTTTATTCTCTGTCATCCCCCAAAGCTGGATTTAGACGAATCCTATAATTCACTTCTTTTTTTTATTGCATCTAAATCAGTTATATATAATTTAAAAAATTCATATTACAGTCCCTTAAAGAAGTAAGTCAGTTACCTATGTAAAATAAACTTAGAGACAGGCAGCCTAGGACCATTATTTCGGATGCTAGAGACCCTGCTCTCAATAAGCAGCCTTATCTCCTAAAATGAGTGCTCAGGCACCAGCCATTGTTCATGTCCAGATCACTGACTGGAACAACAGAAGAGGACTCCTTTGTTATGTCTGAAATCTAGAGTTCTAGTTCTAGTGCAAAAGGTAATACTGAATAGTGAGAAGAAACAATTAGCAAACATGAACATGCATTGTTTTACTACTTTGTTATCAAAATGTATTCTACCATCATATTTTAGTAAAACACCCAGGCATAGTCTTCACAATTGCTTGCTATGCGTCAGAGAGCTGGACAATGACTAGGGATGATAGTAAGAGAATTGATGCCTTTGAACTGTGGTGCTGGAGAATAGTGTTCAGTATACCATGAACTGCCAGGAAAACAAACTGGTTCATCCTAGAGAGGGTAAAACCAGTCTGCTCCTTGGAGGAAGGATTCTGAAACTTTGTCTGACATACTTTGGGCATGTTGCAAAGAGGGACCAATCCTTGGAGGGATGGAGGGACAGAGAAAGAGAGGAAGACCATCGATATGATCGATATGACTGGGGTGATGAGGGTAAAGTGTCAGAGACAGTAAAGTTGGCAGAGGATAAAGCAGGTTTCAGGGCTGTTGTACATATGGTTGCTATGAGTTGCAAACAACTTGATAGCACATAACAACAAACAACAACTCTTTGTTTGATACTAACGGACATTCTGGAATAGGGAGGAGACGTCAGTAGACCTTGTTATTAGGTGCCAGTGAGTGGACTGTGACCCACGGCAACTCTGTGAACAAGGCTTGCCTGTCCTGTGCCATCTCTGATAGGTTTGAGCCCATGGTTACAGACACTGTCAATTCATCTTGTTGAAGGTCTTCCTCTCTTTCTCTGACTCTGCACCTTTTCAAGCATGATGTACATACAGTCAAACCTTGGGTCCTGGTCCAAGAGGGAACTTGCTAGGACAGGGCAAGGGCTGGAGTCTCTGGGCTGTTTTCTTCATTGAACCTTAGGGGTCCATGTGATGGATTTGCTTGCTTGGTTTATCATAGCTCTTAGATCATTTAAGATTGGAAGTTTATACCAGTACCAACCAAAATGCTTTTATAACTAAAGTATATTATTAAGGGTTTAATGGAAGAATGGTCTTAAAATTAAAACAAAAGTCACTGATACCACAAATTCATTGTGGTTTAATCCTCATATTATCAGTCTTGGGGATTCTGTTTTCTGGTGAGTTGTTTTTCTCATCTAATGCTGTGCCAAGAAATCTGGAGAACAACCACTTGGCAAGCTGACTGGAAGAGATGTGTATTTGTTCCCATCCTAAAGAATGGTGACCCAACAGAGTGTGGAAACTAGAGAACAATCTCATTGATTTCACACGCAAGCAAGATTCTACTGAAGATTATCCAAAAACGACTGGAACAGCACATCAGCAGAGAACTGCTAGAAGTCCAGGCTGGGTTTAGAAGGGGTCGTGGTACTAGGGATATTGTAGCTAATGTTAGATGGATCTTAGCTGAGAGCAGGGAATACCAGAGGAATGTCTATCTGTGTTTCATTGATTATGTAAAGGCGTTTGACTGTGTGGATCATAACAAAGTGTGGCTGACTCTGAGAAGAATGGGAATCCCAGCACACTTGATTGTGCTAATGCGAAACCTATACTTGTACCAAGAGGCAGTTGTCAGAACAGAGCAGGGAAACACTGCATGGTTCAAAATTGGGAAGGGCGTACGCCAAGGATGTGTCTTGTCTCCATACCTTTTCAACCTGTATGCAGAACAGATTATTCGGGAGGCTGGCTGTATGAGAATGTGGGGTCAGGATTTGTGGAAGATCTATCAACAGTCTGTGTTATGCAGATGACACAATCCTGCTTGCTGAAACTGAGGAGGACCTGAAGTGCTTCCTGCAGAGAGAGGGTCAAAGAGTGCAGCCTTCAATATATATTGAGGCTCAATGTCAAGAAGACAAAGATTTTCACCCCTGGTTCAGTGGGCAGCATCAGGATGGATGGTGGAGATTGAGATACTGTTCACAGCTTTAGTTTGCTTGGCTCCACAGTCAACAGTCTTGGCACCAGCAGCCAGGAAATTAAAAGACATATTGCGATAGGAAAGTCTGTTGTTAGAGACCTTTCCAAAGTTCTGAAGAGCAATGGTGTCTCTCTGGAGATTAGGGTGCGCCTCATACAGGCCATGGTCTTTGCAATCACTTGTTATGAATCAGAGAGTTGGACAATGACTAAGGAGGATAGAAGGAGAATTTTTTTTCTTTTCTAATTGTTTCATTTTTATTTTTTTTCTATAATTATATTTTATTAATTTTCATAAACATTTACAGAGATTTTGGGTTTCCATTCATTCATTGTTGCACTATTCTCTCTACCCTCCTCCCAGTTTGTTCTTGTCCAAATGCCACAGTGCTTGTCAAAGCCAGTTGTGATTAATCTTCTTTGTCAGTGTGTCCTTTGCCATTCCCTATCACTCCTCCCTGAGAGAGACTTCACCCTGAGTCATAAGGAAAAGGGGATGGCGTATTCTCTTAGCTACTTCCTGCTGAAAAGGGACGCTGTGGGTTTCAGGGTGAAGATCTTCTCTCACTACTCTAAAGGGCCCCTTTGGCAGTAGGAAACACATAGACTATTATGGAGATTGATTTTGGGATTTAGATGCACTCTTATTGATTGTGCTTGGCCGTACATGTTCATATCCTTGAAGATGTATCATGGGGGTGTTGCAACCTAGAAGACACAAATTTGACTAACAAGTTATAAGTACATGAGTCCAAAAATTATGGAAAAGTAAAAGAAAAGATTCTTTCATTGTTTTACAAACCCTCCCCCAGGTCCCCTCCACCATGTAGCCCTCACTCTAGTCTCCTGTGATGACAGAAATACCTAGTTATATATCTCTTTTAAACAGTTTTCTTCCTCCTCTGTTTCAGTGCAGTATACATTATTGAACCCATCTTA